AGAATATGAGTTATAAAAATGTCCATGTACATTAGGAGCATGGCTGTCATGTGAATTGAGGTACACCTGTACATCAGACTTCTGGGCTGTGCAGACGTTCAGGGGTGTGCAGACTACAGTGGCAGAATCTACGGCATCCTTGTCTGTTGCACATGGGTGGGGATGGCTAAGGGGCATACTCTTCCAAAGGCAGCTGCATACCTACTTCTGGGACTGGGGTGAGAATGTAGGGGTATAGGGCATTTCAAGGCAGAATTGTCCTTTTCTGTTTTCAGGGCTCACCTGTTACCTCATCATTGAACTGTTTGATCTGTGGGGTTGATGAAGTCTAACTTTAGAGCCCTCCCATGTGTCCCTTATCAGTATCTCTGAGCCTATCTTCACTCCAGGGTTTTTTTCAGCCAATTAACTAATTGCTAAGGTTTTATCTAATTACAGCTTAAGGTGTTATCTTTCCCTGGGGGAGTAGGTAGCTCTTGGTGGAAATACAGATGTTTTATCCAAAAGTAAGGGGAGAAATTTTGTGATTGAGACACCGTTCCAATTACCTGCAGCTGTTAAAGATCACAGTGCTTGGCACTGGGAGTGGACTCATTGTGGGTATTCAAATTGACTATTAAGTAGATAAAGCAAGTAATTGATAAACAAATCTTGTCCTAAATGGCACCGGAGTGGTGGGAGTGGGGATGTGGAAGGAGAATCAGATTTGTGCTGAAGTTGAAAAACAACAACAAAAAAACTCTCAAAAAGTCTCCCTCTTCACGATTCTCCCAAACTTCCAGAGCAGTGTTTCTGGAAAGGCAATTTTTGAATCACCTGTGTTAGTCACCTGGGATGTTGGTTGGCAGTAGGTTTCTGAGCCTATTGCCAGACTCCCACCTGACAATCTATGGGGAAGGGTTCTGGCAAGCAGCATTCTGATGAGTTCCCTAGATCTGTGGTCCCTAACGCCTGGGCCGTAGCCCAGGACTGGTCTGTGGCATGTTAGGAAACGGGCTGCATATCACTGCCTGAGCTCTCCCCCCACCCCAGACCGTGGAAAAATTGTGTTACATGAAACTAGTCCCTGGTGCCAAAAAGGTTGGGGACCGCTGCCCTAGATGATTCTTACCTACACTAACATTTGGGAACTGAAGTTCTAGAATTCCCATATTCCTTTCCCTTTCTGCATGCCTAAGCAGTTGTATTCTGGGAAAGGGTTGTCTAGGCAGAGAGATGGCTGAGTTATTAGTCTTTGGGGGAATTATATGGGGCCTGGAGGATAATTAGATGGACCCAAACCTGTTCATAGCTCCTCAGAGATGAGTGAGTGTGAGGATGGGAAATTGACTTAGTGATTATCTATACAGATATGCAAAACATAGGGCATATGTTCAACCTTCCTGAAGGTTGAAGCTTGTGATGTACACAGGCTGGATGTTCACCTTTGGGATTTCTATGCCAAGAGATAGGTGACTGTGGATCTGAAAATGGCCTAGCATATGGTGTGCTGAACGTTTCACTTGACCCGCAGTGCCAGCCCATGTATCATGGTATAGGCAACAAGCAGGCATATTCCAGGTCCATCTTAAGGCCACGACCTTCTTTGCTTTTTTCTCTCTCTCTTCCTTTATAAAAGGCACACATTATAGTGGAGATGCTTAGATTAGAAGTATAGTCTTATTCATTCCTTAGCCAGATGGCCATCTTGGCCCGGAGCTTTTGTTCTAAAAGCATGCTGTGCATTTTTAACACCTCTTCTGCCCATCTTCTGTCCTCACTTACCATATCTCTGTCCCCTTTCCTAGTGGCATGTAAGCATGTTCCTCCTAAATGTTAAGATGGAGTCAGAGAACCTCAAAAACATGGCTCTTGCCTGATCCAATCAATCCTTGGCCTGCCGTGATACTGATGAGTTCAGTATCCCTCCCAAGAGGAGGGTACTCTGCTCTTACTCTGCTCCCCATTCAGAATGTAGGAACAAATCTAGATTGGGGAGTTGTATCAAAACCTACAACCCTGGATAATCCTGTTCTGTATTAAGATTAAAACCAAGAAACCAGTAAGACACAGGTATGAGTAACACTTTTATCTCTTGTTGATAGTGCAGAGAAAGGGCTAAAAACCAGAAATATTACTGTGGCACCTAGTGAAAAGGTTGACAGGAGCTGGGGTTGTCTGATTATTCACAGATCCCTTACATGGAGCTTACTCCTGATTAATTTAAGATTCTTGCTGTGAAAAAGACTCCTATCCTGGAGACCTAGGGAGAGAGTTTGGGAGAGCTGCTGCCGCAAGTGAGGCTAGGGAGAGCAGGCTTGACCTCTAAGAAGACCTAGCCCTCAGCTTCCCCACACCTGTGTCAGTAGTTACAAAAGAGCATTACAAAGTGTCTCAAGGGCTCAGAGGAATGCCAGGAACTGAGAAAGGGGAGCAGTGTGATCACCTAGGACTCACACGTCCGATTTGTCCTTTGATACTCTTCCAGCTCCGTTTTCCTGCTCACAGCCAGCTGTAGCTCCTGACGGATCACCTGAATCTGCTTCTCGAGCTCTGAGAGCTCCTGCATCACTGAGTTCCGGGATACATTTAGGGAGTCCGCTTTCCCATTGGTGGTCAGCAAGGCAGGGAGCTCTCTTCTCCTTGGAGGGAGAGGGATGTCCTGGTGGGTCCGCATGCCCAGCTGGTTTTGTCCTTCCTCGTCACTAAAGATGTATTTTCGCCGATTGTCATGACTCAGATTGGAAGTATTCCACACGGTGAGCTGACGGGGTCCCATATTGGACCTAGGAAACAGAGACATTTTAGATTTACTATCCATTCTGCAGCTCTCAAAGTGCTGTTCTCCATCTGTTAGCCATTTCCTTTGTGAATAATATGCATTTGGGGATGAAGTAAAAAAGCCATGCACAGACTGCCTGCTAGAGTGTCATGGGGACAAAAGGAGCCATGAACTTTTCAACTGAAGTTCAAGGTCTTATCAAGTCTTATGCTGCTCTGAAACTGGAATGGAGAATCACCTGGAAGGCCGATGGCATGGGGTGTGGCACATTCTTCTGTGCCTTTGTATTCCCTTCCTGTGGGTCAAGCTCGGAGACCAGCACTACCTTGAAACATTCTGTGGGCTATAAAGATGGTACCTTAGTAAAAGTGAAAATCTGTTATTTAGATGTTGGACTCTAAGCATCAGCCTGTTGATAGATCTTATAATACTGTCCATCCTCAGTCCCACAGGACCACTCCAATGTTTACTACTTGATTTTAGGGAGAATAAAAGCATATAAGCCACAAGTTTCTGCAAAGTGTTTCTCACTGTAGGGATGGCTTTATGTGGATTGAGAATGACAGGTCAGTTCTGATGCTTAAAAAAAAAAGAAGAAGCTCTCAGGTTCCTGTTAGTATGATGAAAATCAAATAGAACCTGATTTGCAATCGCATTTTAGGCTTGCGTCTTACCACCTACCACCATTGTGGAGAGATGGCACTGGACAGCAAGAGAGTTGCTGATAGAGAGTCATGGGAGGAGGTGAACCGGTTTCTGAAATGCACTTTGACACTTAGGTGCAATGAGGAGTTCCTCCCTACAAGAACAGATTAAAGCCCCAAGCAGCACAGCTTCTGATTTCTTCTACCTTAGACAGAGGAGGAGGAGGAGGATTATGACCATTTTTGCAATCTACCATAGGACAAAGCAAAATAGAAACACCCTATTAAGTCCTTGTGTTTTTGTTCCCATGCACATAACTGAATCGACTTTATTCCTGGGCTCTTACTTGCCGGGAGGAGAAGGGGAGGAACTGGAGGGCAAAGGGGAAAGAGAAGGATAATAAAGTCTTGATGTGAAAGTGGTCATAAACCTCCATTCCTCCTTTCATCCATGCCCTTGTGTAATATGACTTCACAGCTCATCCCTATAGGGTTCCTTTTCCCCTTGAATTAGGGCTGGTCTCATAACTTGTTTTGGCCGATAGAAAGTGGCAGAAGTAGCAGGGAGGCATTTCTAAGCCTAAGCTTTTATGAAGCTTTGCGCACTTCCACTCTGTCTCAGAACTCTGCTGCTGCAATGTGAACAAGTCCAGACTGGCCTGCTGGATGGTGAAAGAGACCATGTGGAGAGAGTGCCTGGGCTTCCCAGTTGACCCAGCTGAGGCCATCACAAGCCAGACAGCCCTTAGCTGCTTTTCCCTTTCCCTCCAAGCTGGCTACAGACATAAGAGCAAACCCAGCCCAAATCAGCGAAGCCTGGCTCAGATCAGCAGACTGCACAGCTGAACCATAGATTAGTAAGCACCTCACTGTTGTTTAAAACATTAAGTACTGGGATGATTTCTCACATGGCAAAGAACAACTGATACATACCCCAAGCCATTAAAACACACAAACACACTCCAAACCGCCCTGTAGTTCTTTAACATTTTGTCATAGTTTAAGTCTTATGTAAGTGAGCAGAGGGCACCAGAGCTCAGTTTTCATGTTTCCTGGGCTGGGTAAAATTCTATAAGGAATTAGAAGGCTTTAGACTTAAATCAGAGAAAGGATACAGTTATAATTTTCCTTCGAGCTTTACAGTTCCCCTTAATTTTCCCTTCAAATCTTTTCTTACTGAGTTTGAATAATTTCAAAGCAATCTTGTTTGTGGTGTTTGTTATATGGTTTGCAATTTTTGTGTGTCTTGGAGTGAAAGGAAAGAGAAAAGGGGGCTCTATTGGGAAGCCAATGAGGTGAAGGATAGACCAAAACGTCCATGAAATCACATGTTGAATGAACCAAGCACTATATATAGTCTCTTGCAATATGCATTTTTTTTCTCTGCATTAAGGAAGGAAGGAACAACATCTGCTTCTATACAATGACCCACAATTTTCCCAAACATTTCCTCAAACTCTTATGTTAGCAATTCATTCATTCATTTATCTATTTTATTCATTCAATAAATATGGAGCATGGGGGAGAGATGTCAAGTAGAGCATTTGCAAGAATGAGAGGGAGAGGGTGTTCTCAGGCCAGTAGACCTAACTCTCTAGTATCATAGAATGATTCGTAGCAGGGAAATCCTGGGAGTTGAGCATCTGCACATTTTCTTGGACTGTTCAGGCAACCACAGTGATCAGGTAAGTAGAGACAGCCGATCTGGTTATCTCCAGAGCTTTATATATCTGGTAATATAGAAGAATAAACAAAAGCTGGACTCCATGGCAAACTCTAGTTGTGTGCACCACCAGTGCTCTGCTAATTGTTGTGTGGCTCTGGGCTACCTATGAGTGTCAGGTGACATATGCTGAATATAAGATTTAGTGTCTAATTGCAAAGAATGAGAGGGTTACACTCTTGGCCTCAATAACATTTAGGTTGTGTTTTGTATCAAGCCTTCCTAGAGTGTAATGTGACCAGTGAATGAACTGTTTTTTAACATTATAAATGAGCAAAATAGGCTTCCATGAAGCAGTTATATGACATAGAGGTTCAATGCTCCACTGGACTATTCAAAAGAGACCTGAAGGCTCTGGGACCCCAAACACTCATTGTGTTTAAACGGTTGTAAATGTTGGGCTGTAGAGAGGTGGGCACAGGAAATGTGGGCCCAAGATAAAGCAAAAGAATGAGTTCTGCCTTAGCTCCTTCTCAAAATAGGGGGTTCAGGAAGGAAATATGCCAAGAAAAGTGGGTAAGTTGAGTGAAAAGGCAATTAGGTTCTTGATTTAAGTGAGAAAATGTGGTTACGAATCACATCACAGCTGGAGATGGGATCACTGGGCTCCCTGTTTCTATAGCTGGAACACGAATGTTTTGCCATTGTAAGATGATAGCTTTGCTGCTGTCTTCTTGTGTTCTTCTGGTTAGAAATTTATGTTAGAAATAATTATAGAAAAAAATATATGTAACATGACTTGGAACAGCTGTGACCTGATTAGTCCACAGCTTGTCACGAGCAGACTTGCGATATGATACAGGAAAGCCACAGACTGAGAGGGGTTTGGGGAGTGCTCATTGACTGGAAAGAGAGCCTATAAGAAATAATGGAAATGATTCTGACAGACTAGATGCAAAAACTAGAGGGAAGAGGACTGCAGCAGTCCCAGAAGAGATTAAAAAACAATGAAAAGAAGTCATATTTTCCATCCCTTTTTCTTTTGTTATGATGAGAGAGGTGTCAGCTTTCAAAACTATCCAGAAAGCCAAGCTTTGAGCTGAAGATATGCCATAGATGACAAGAGTTGCTTGGAGCTGATGCCCTTGTCTGAGGCCTCTGAGAGCGTAAAACAACCAAGAGGGCTGCCTTAGGCAGCAGGCAACAGAGGCCAGCCAGGAACGAGACCTAAAAGCTTCTGACGTCTTTAGTCACCGTGAATAAGGCACCAGTCATCCACAGGCTGGCTGTGGTGAAGGTGCAGCGTTTCAATGTTCAAATATCATTGATGCATTTAAGGCTTGTTAATTCCTGTTAATGAGATGCTCTCTCCTAAGGAATTTGTAGAAGAATGCCACGAAATGGATTAGGCAGGACATGTCTGTTGCATATTTCAAATACTATTAATATATTCCTAGGAGTGCTGGAAAGGGGTGGGGAGTGTAAACATGCCAAAAAGATATCACATGAAATTAATTGCTTGCACTGTTCATGAATTAAGTCTTTTGTATATAATAATAGCTAATATTTATTAGGCATTTGCTTTGTTTTCAGGGCTTTACATGTATTATCTCATTTAATCTTTACACCAGCTCTAGGAAGTAGGTACTGTTTTTATCTCAGTTTCACAAATGAGGAACCTGAGGCACAGGGAGTTTAAATAAATAAGTCATCAAAGTAACACATATCGTAAGTGTTGAGACAGGATTTGGATCCAGATGGTTGACTCTAGAGTCCACGTCTACACCCTATCCATGATAGTGTATTATTGCCTGTACTGCATGTCAATGTCCATATATATTGTTTATCTCTTTTATTTATCTGAAACCACATGTATTTATACTTATTTTATTTATCAACAGTTTGTCCTGATTTGATCTGAATAATTATACAGTTGTGTCTCTAAACTTTTATTTTAGCAAACGTAAAGACAGCTGGCATTGGCCTCTACTTACCTCTTTTCCAAACGTTTGGTCTTGAAACGCTGCTGCTTTTCCTCTACAAATGATGTGTTTAGTGCTCTATGTAATCTCTGATGGAGAGAACAGATTCACAGGTAGAAATCATTAGAAACACACAGGTCAGGGGACAAAACACTAATTGAGACTTAATGATGTATGTAGTCACTACAAACTTTGACCTCTTTAAACAAATTTCCAGGAATGCCTAAAGACAGATCAACATTTAGTCCCAAATCTCAAGAGCACAAAAATTCTAATTATAGGTTATTATTCTTCCTGGAGAAAAAAAGAAAGTGATCTGATAGAAAGCTTAGAAATGCCCTGGATTGTAAACGGTGTGTGATATAAGGTGGCTCAGTCATAACTAACGTGTAGAAAAGGTCTTGTACAATTGCTAAAGATAAATCAAAAACGTAAGTCTGAACTTCGTGGCAACCAAAACAAAGAAGGGAAGAAGGACTTCAGAACTACACTAATCCTATTAGCATATAATAGGGAAGACCTATCTAGAAAAAACAGTATTGTGTTAACAAAGTGAGGGGTCAGCATGAGAATACATGAGTGGGGCAGAACTGGGTGCACTGGGAGGCAGGAGGGAGCCCAGCACTGGGGAGGCCAGAGTGGCTCATCCCTGCGGTCAGGTGAAACTGCCCCATTTGTTAGAGTTTGTCATTAAGAAGCCTTCTGACTGTATTTTGGCTCTCCATGTCAATTTCCTTCAGGGAGAGATGTACAAATGAGTGTGCTCGAATTGTCAGTCCACTTAACAGTTTCAGTTCTCCCTGTAAATCGTGTGTTGGTGTCTGGATTTCACGAAAGAACTGCGGCCCTGTGAGGCTTGACCTGGGCGCCAGTGGGCCTCAAACCTCAGACCAGGAAAAAAGCAGAGAGAACAGAGGCAAGTGGGGTCACTTAAAGGGGAATCGAGACTTCAAACTCATTTTGTGGGTTTCAATTTTGGCAAGAAAAGAATATAGGAAACAAATCTTTCACATTTTTTTTTTCAGATTGTCACTGTTAAGTGAAGCCTGGTTAAAAACAGTCCTATTGCTTCTATTATGGGTGACGATGGAGGGTTATGAGAAAGGAAGGGGATAGCTTAATTTAAGGGGAAAGTGAATTAATGGGCTAGAGAGAACCCCATCTTCTATTAATACATTCAGAGTGCCTATACCACCCTTGTGATCGTGGTAATTTATCATCTGTCAGTCTGACACAGGGTTCTGGATCCTCCCATCACTGGGAATTCTACAGTTTAAGAATATTGGAAAAAGACACCAGTGCCACTCACCTGACTGGTGTGGAGCCAGTATTGCAGCCTGGATTTGTTTTTGATTCGTGGTAGCAGCAGCCTGTACACCATGTGCTCACCAATGGTTGTCAAGATGGATAGACCAAATCCGATGCACAGCAGCACGAAGAGTCCAGAGAAGTGTTTGATGCCCATTTGCAAAGTCTGTGATAGAACAGGAAAGAAAATGCCACGAATGCGATGAACCACCTGGCCCAATGCTTGTTCACTCTTTTTCTTTTTTAGACTCAGATTCCTTTTTTCTGGACCTAAGGAAAGCTGGAGACTGTTCCTCCCAGTATGTTCTGTGAACTTCACTATACTGCGCTGTGAAAGGAATTCCAGTGCTGGACTGAGGGCTGCTGAGGCGCACAGGCCTGGGGTGCTGTTCACATGCTGATCCCACTGTGGGAACGGTCCCTGGAGTCGTGCCAGGGTCCTGGGCCTGCACCACCCTCCAGTCTCTTAGAGAGAGATAGAATTAGGGAATTGAAATAATTTAATATACTAAAACATTCTATCCAGGGAAGAATCTTCCTCAGGGACAGAGAGTGAGTAGATTTAAGGGGAAAAGATGATGAATCCAGTAATTATGGAGTTTGACTCTACCATGGAACATGGAGATCATCTAGTTCAATGCCCTCATTGTACAAATAAGGAAACTGAGACCAGAGAGGTGTAAGTAGATCAAGCCAGGCCACAAATCAGGCAGCCATAGAGGAGAAAGAGAAGGAACCTAATATTTATTGGTTGCTTACTTTTTGCCAGATGTTTTGCATTGAGATAGGTATTATAATCCCCATCTTCTACATGACAGAGAGGGTCTATAAGTCCATCTCTGTTCAGCTTCAAATCCTGGGCTCTTTCTGCTATACAACAAAACAGCAGCAGTCACAGCAACAGTTACAACAACTATATGTGGCCGGCACTTTGCTAAGAGATTTACATATTGTAGAAGTTAATTATACAAATTGGGTCATTCTTATCCATACCCAACTAAATCAGACTCAGGTGGCCAGGGGACAAAAACACTCTCGGCACATAGCACCCGCTCCAAGAGTTAAATTTTCCACAAGCCCAGCTGCTTAAACTTCCTTTTATAACCTGAAACCAGTTTTATCTAACGGCTACTAAACAATCTGCTGTGACTCTAAGATGAGTTGTGCCCACCGCCGTCATTTATCCATCGGGGCTTGCCAACTCCCCTAATGCCAATGAACTTTCTTTCAAAACAATATGTAGCATTTCTTCTTTTTATAAAACCACCAACTTTTCTTTATTTTTCAGACATGCCGAAGACTATATCTAGTCTGTGTGTATACCCTGAATTGCAATTCTTGCTTCCCAAATAGTGTTTTAAATTTAGAGATTTGTCTCTATATTTTATTTGACTTCAACAATATGCTATCTAAGAAAACTTCACATGTACTTTGCAATAGGTATTATTCAGTCGCTGACATCAATGGCAAGAGTCATTGCTGCAGAAGGAAAATAATGTATTGAGAGTCTACTATGTGCCAGGCATACGCATCTCTTCTGTGTACTGTGGGATGGAGATAGAAGGAAGTTCTATTTCCCTGTAAGCAGCTTTAGTCTAGGGAGAAAGCAAACATGTATGGCACCATGATACACTTGATCTATGTTTCTTGGGTTTTGTGGATAAGCTGGCTGATGAGATAAGATTTGAGTAAGAGGCAGAATGGGGAGGTAAGGTGGAGAAAGTGAACACACTAAGCTGAGGGTAGCATAAACGGTTGAGAAAAGACACGACTTTCCCAGACAGTGGTGTAGGTGGGTACGAGATTGAGAAATAGACTGCTGTAGTTTAGGGGAGGGTGCACGAGGCATGCGTAGTGCTGTGGTTTGAATGTATGTGTTCTTCCAAAATTTGTATGTGGGGACTTAAACCTAAAGGTGGTGATGTTAAGAGATTGGGCCTTCACCCTCAGGAAGGCAGCAAAGCCCTTATGAAAGGGCTCTCGGGAACTAGCTAGTTCCTTATGTTTCCCTTCCACCCTTCCACCATGTGAGGAAATAGCAACGAGGACCAACTTGGAAGCAGAGACTGGGTCCGCAGCAAGACATCAAACCTGCTGGCACCTTGATCTTGAATTTCAGCCTACAGAACTGAGAAATAAATTTCTGTTCTTTATAAATTATCCAATCTCAGGTATTTTGTTATAGCAGAACAAATGGACTAAAATATTTAGTTGGGAGAAACAGGGCCACACTAAAGCAAGTCCTTGGATGCTATTCTAAGAAGTGTAGGTGTCACCCCTTTGCTGGAGGCTTTTGGTCATCATTATCGTTGATGATTATTTAGCACTTAATATGTGTAAGGCACAGTTCTTAGCACTTTATCAATGTAGCGACTTGCCCAATCCTCATAACGACCCATGTGGTAAATACTGTTATGATCTCCATTTTATGGGTGGATGTAGAAACTTAGCAACAAAGAAGTTCAGTAACTTGTCCAAGGTCACATAGCTAGTAAGGGTTGGAGCTGTGATTCAAACTCATGCAATCTATCTTGAGAGCCCACACTTTTCACTGCCTCATTTATCTGATGTGAGTGGATCCTCCCATCCTCTTTAAGGGATTTTCCTACTTTCATTCTCCCCACCTCTACCCACCCCAATCCTGGAGAATGGTTCAGGCATGGGAGACATAGGGAAGCCTATCTGGGGCTCAGGACTCGGAGGCAAAGCTCAGAGATTTAGGCTTTGATGGAGCCTGGGTCATGGAGTCTCTTCTCCTCCATGACAGTATTTCAGGCAGTGGCTATGGCTCAAAACCGGTGTTAGGATCCCTGGAGAAGAACAGACTAGAGCTGAGGAGGGGCTCAGAGCACGCACCAGCTCTAGGACACTGAGACACAAGGCAAGAAAACTGGACAGATGACCCGGGAATGCTGGCTGAAGCCCAGCCCTAGGGAACAGAGAAAGCCCGTCTAGGAAAGGGCTCGATGGGGAGGTTCATTGGGCCCTCAGGGCTGCAGAGGTTCTGGGGCTTTTCCTGGGACATCTCTGTACAAGCAGTGACCAGTCGTATAAACCCTAACCTCCAGAAAGTACATACAAATGTGTTTGAAAATAGTCCTTGGTCTGGACCTATTGCAATGTGTACAGGATATGGCTATTATAGAAGGTTTCAAAGAGTTATTGCTATGGATTAAGAACAAACTGGGAAAATTCATTTTGAACTTTAACACCATCAAACATTCAGTAAAACTAAGCATACAGGCACCACTTTCTTATGAGATACTGCCAAGATAGGAAAAATGTAACTTACAGTGAGTCATCTTGCCTTTAAGAACATGGCTTCTCTGTTTCCTGTGTATAACAATAATTAGTCTCATTTCCTCTAATTACCTCAATAAGAAATAGGCCATATTCAGTTTCTATTATACATTTCTTTCTTTAAATTTCTGTTGTTTACACCCATATGTTAATAGACTGGTAGAAGTAGTTATTGTGTTTTTTAATTGGGCACTTAATGTGTGCCAGACACCATATATTCATGTTATGATCTTACAATAACCCTGTAAGTTAAGTATAATTATCCCCATTTCACACTTGAGAAACAGGGGTTCAAAGAGATTAATTTTCTTACCCAAGATCCTAGAAACTAATAAGTGGGGAGCTAGGCTGCGGATCCAGGATGATTTAATGTCAAAGCCTGCACTTCTTCTCGAGCAAATATTACTTACAGGTATCTTTGCTGTCTGAATTCTCACTATATTCTATTCACTATAATAACTACCAAAAATTTCTGTTCAAAAGTCACCACTGGAATTGAAAATCCACTATAATCTGCCTGTGAGCACCAGTGAAATTGTGTCTGAGTCCGAGTGATAAGATGTACGGCTGCAGTTGCAATTCAGCTGTTCTTTCTCTAGGATCGTTGTTTAAATGTGTTATGCACTAGACATGAGCATCTTCCCACATTATCAAGTGAAACTTTTTTTCTAATCCAGTGAAACTTGCTCAGCTTGACACTTATCATTGGTCAGAGGAAGAACAAGGGAAGGAGTAATGAACATTTAATGTCAAATTTTCAAAATAAGTTTAGGCAATGCAGACGAAATGATGATTGCAGTTGCAAGGGATGTGAGTGGAAGCACATTCAGAAATGCAGTCACAAACCCAGTCTCATACTGTGAAAAGCTGTGTAAATGAAAGCAAAAAGAATGCAAACAAACATAAATTTTGAGGTTTTTTTCCCGTCCTACTGCTTTATCTGAAGCTTCATTTGATAGCTCACAGCCACACACTTCCAGAGAGTCAAGTGCCAAGGAGAGAAGACTGCGCCAGGATTTAGCCAGGGACAAATCTCAGGCATTCATGGCTTCGCTTGGTCCTCCACAAGCTTACTCTAGCATACCCCATCTCATTTAGGCAACTCTTTAATTAGTAACATTCAAAAAAATTATCTTGTTAATTTCATTGTTCTATATGTTATTTATACTCCTTATGTTTCTTTAGGATTTTATTTTACTGTTAATTTACCTTAGTATATATATATTACACTGTGGAGGGGAAACAGTTTGTATCTGATACTGTACTCTTCACATTGCATCCAGGAATACCCACTAATTAAGCATTAAATAATTGGTGTTTTAAATGCTTTATATTATGTAGAAATTCTTGGTGGATTGTCAAATATCCATATATTCTGCACTAGGATATTAAACACCCATAGGTGTCTAAGAGTGTTATAATGATATTTAGGCAAACTGGTTGGAGTTTTTGGGTTTTGGATGAGGTAGGATGCTTTATTATTTTTCCCACTTAAATTAATGGAAAGGGATTCCACTATCTGGAAATTATTAGGCAGCACATTCCCAGGAACAGACTAGATTCAGATAAAGGAGATGTCTGTACTATCATAGGTGTGGTCTTGGACAGCAAAAGAGACTAAAGTAGAACAAAGAGAGGTATCCCCAAAACAAAGTGAAGACATTATGTTAAAGAGGATGGAATAATCAACAGTGATCTGGTCTTGGACCAGATCATCAGTGCTTCCAGTGATATGCAGAGGTCAAGACTACCAATTTTGTTGTTGCCCAAACCCTGCTTTGCATTTTGTTCAGATGTGGACACTTGAAACATCTGACAACTGGCTAGATAAGTGACTAGTTCTCAAGCCTTCTGCAAGAAATGCAG